TTAAGGGTCCAACAGTCCTCCGTACTGTGTCCCACTGCTCCAGAGTGGTATTCACATCTAGCATCAGCTCGATGCGAGGGGAACTCAGGGTTTGGCCGATTCGGGGCCACTGGCTGCAATAGATTTAGCCTGATTAACTTTTGGAACAAGCTTGAATGCGATTCACCAATAGGGGTGAACTGCTTCTTTCTGAAAGTCTCTCTTGGGCGAGGATAGTATTGGGGAATAATTGGTTGGGGATTATATGAAGCTTGGTAAGGATGGACACTTATGGGAGGTGGAGCTCGATTTTTGTGTATAATGCTGTGGTCGCGGGTAAGGTTGCGCCTTCATCACCACATAGGGAGACAGTGCCACAACATAAGTAGCAGCTTGAAGGGGATAATAGTGTGGTGGGACCATAGGAGGCACATATGATTGGTTGAATGACCTGCGGGGACCCCTCGAGCTTGAAGCTATCGTGGCTCCCTCTTTACTTCCATTGTTGTTCATCAAACCCTCCGAACCATTCTGAGCAGCCTGTGATGTGGCCTTAAAAGCAGCATGACTCAAGATTCGACCCATTTTTAGCCCACTTTCTACCATCTCCCCAATTTTGATAGCCTCAGCAAACGGCTTTCCCATAGCGGACATCATATTTTGGAAGTAGTCATCCTCTTGGACCTGTGGAAAGACAGTGACCATTTCAATTTCATCCATTGGAAGTTTTACCCTAGTAGCTTGCTCACGCCATTTGACAGCATATTCGCGGAAGCTTTCCGTGGTTTTCTTTTTCAAATTGGACAAAGAGTTTCTGTTGGGAGCGATGTCCACATTATACTAGAATTGGTGGACAAAATCTCGGGCCATATCGTCCCACACGTTCAAATGAGTAATTTCTTGATCCGTATACCACTCAGAAGCGATTCCGGTGAGGCTTTCCCCAAAATAGGCCATTAGCAACTCCTCTTTTCCACCAGCACCTCTCAACTGGTTATAATATCATTTCAGGTGAGCGACCGGGTCTCCATACCCATCGTACTTTTCAAATTTTGGCATCTTGAAGCCAACTGGAATTTGGACATGGGGAAACATACAGAGGTCAGAGTATGAGACACTCTTTTGGCCACTCAGACTTTGCATGTTTTTCAAGCTTTGTTCCAGGCTCTTCATCTTCCGAGCCATTTCCTCTTGCTCGGGATTTTTAACAACCTTTTATTGCTCCACCGAGAGATCATATTGCGGAGATTGAGTGAAAGAGTACGGGGTTACATGTGTTATTTCTGATTGTAGCTGTGGACCCTGAAAGGTGAACATTGGAGGCTCAATATACGGTCGTGGTAAAGTTGGTTGTGCTCTGGTGCAGACTGGTTCTGCAGAGAAAAATGTTGGAGGTGCCCAGGAAACTGACGCCTGGGGGCAAACCACAAAAGGCATGCTAGGAACATTGGATGGCATTAGAGGGTGCCCGCATGGGATGAGTGGGTTGGGCACAGGGGCGTTGGTAACCTCACCTGACCTAGGGATCAACTCAGGGAACCCAGGGATTGCACTCGGAGGTTCCCTACCATTAGACCACGCATCTCACATTTCTAATATGCAGAGACGCGACATCCTATGCTCTTCAGCAGCTACTGATTCTAGTTGTGGAATAGTCGGTGCTGCGCTATCCTCAGGATCGATGATTTGTAGATTGCTTGCGGAGACCATCTGTGTCTTTGGATCTTGTGAAGGAGGGGAGGCTAGACTACCAACAAAACCAACCACCAAAACCTGGCTAGTTTGCACACCCAACAACCTTGTTAGTTTTGAGATATTTAACATATAGGAAATTGCACGTTGGGATGTAATGCACCTAACAGTTAAACGCTTCTACCGTATGTTTGAACGGTTGCATGTTTCATCCCCACCTTAACTAACCCCTTCAATATGTACCTCTTTTCATCATTTCTGTCTCTCTTTAATAACACTTGATTTTTTTTCATCTCGTTTTTGCCGCTCGTTTATTTTTGACACTCTCTTTTTCTCCTTTTGCTTGTCACTCTTTTATTTCTTGTCTCTCTTTTTTTTTCTTTTCTTTTTTTTTCACACTTTTCATTTTTTTTCTCAATTTTTCTCTCTTTTTTCAGTTTATTTTTCACTCAATTAATTTTATGGCTATGATCGAATTCGATAGGGATTGCTTACGTATCATGACGTCGCATAAATCAGATCTTGCGTAGTTCGGGAAGATTGAGAATAGAGTAAATAAACTAACACTTTTTTTTTGTTTAATTTTATAAAACTAAGACCATGAATGCTTTAAGAAAAAGAAAAACATATTTTTTGAATTTTTTTTTTTTGAATTTTGGAAAGAAAAGCTTTAAAAGAAGAAAAGAAATATTTTTTTTTTGGATTTTTGATTTTGATTTTATTTTTAACTTTTGAAAGAAAAACTTCTAAAAATTCATTTTCTTTTGATTTGAACTTTGGGAATTTCAAAAGTAAAAAGAAAATATTTTTGTTTGAATTTTCATTTGTTTTCTCTTTTTCTAAAGAAGAAAGAAAATAATTTTGGATTTTGAATAGTGCCTCTTAATTTTCGAAAGAGGTGCTTTTTAAAAAAAATTTGAGTTTTTTTATTCATTACAAAAGTACTTCTAAAGAAAAACGAAAATATTTTTGGACTTCAATTTTTTAATTTTTTTTTCTTTTTTGGATTCTTTTTTTTTTTGGGAAAAGACTTCTTAAAAATAAATNGCTTTTTTGGATTTTTTATCTTGGGAAAAATACTTCAAAATGAAGGAAACCCGTATTTTGGATTTTGATTCTTTTATTTATTTTTCGTTTTATTTCTTCTTTTTTTCGTATGAAAGACTTTAGAAAAAAGGAAATTATTTTTTGAGTTTAATTTTTTTTTTGAATTTTCTAAAGAAATGCTTCTAATGAAGTAATTAAAGGAAAATATTTTTGGATTTTGTTAAAAATTAGAGTCGGAACCGATGAAGTTTGCCTACGTATCTCACATCCGGTGAGAATTAGACCCGCGTAGTTCGGTCGGTTTTGACATAAAAGAAAACATGAAGTATTTTGAAACCATTTTATCTTCCTTTTTTCTCTTTTCTCTCTCTTTGTTTTTCAAAATTTTGGCAGAGTTTTGGTATATTTTGGACAACGGATTTTCCAAAGGTGGGTAATTATCTCTCTCATACCTCAATTTTATTTTTCCTAATTTCCTCCCTATTCTAGCAACCGGTCAACATGCAAACCGAAGCAAATAGTTGTACAAGTAACACGTAAAATATGCATCAGGATGGTCTTTTGATTCTGGGGTCCATCTGTCATGGACGGACCCAACCCTTGTGTTGAGTCTCCAAAGTCAAATGAACATGATGAAAACAAACGTTTCCACTAGGGATCCAGCATGAGGCTGAGTTATTCTAGGTTTAAAACCTGGGTATATTGTTATAGACTTGGTGTACCCGAGCGGACAACTCGAGCCAAGGGGGGCTACGTACCGGGAACCAAAAAGCCATCCGGCTTTGTAAATTGTCTGAGCCTCTTTCTACTTTAAGGTATGACACTAACAGAAGAGGAGTCACGCCAGCGTGCACATCCCCGAAGACCAGAAGAGAAGGGTTTCGTAATAGTTTATATACAGTTCAAATAATATCAAAGCGGTAAAAAGCAACATTTAGCACATTAAGCCCAAACATGTAAAAATCAGATAATAAATAAAACCAACTATAACAGTTATTCTAAGCTCGAATTCTGAACCCTGAACCAGAAGTTCTGGGTTTTTATCCCTAGCAGAGTCGCAAGAGCTGTCACACCTCCTTTTTACCACACGATAAGGGATATAAGGGAGTTTTTCCAATTAAAGTGACATTAATCGAAACGGGATAATTTTATTTAATTTTTCACAATCACCGCTTGGAATAGTTATTTTGTGTCCCAAGTCACCGATTTATTTTAAAATCCCAAATCGAGGAAAATCGACTTTATTTAAAAGTCTGCAAAACCAGAAATTCTAGATAAGAAATTATGTTAACCCGGGAGAAAGTGTTAGGCATTCCCGGGTTCCGTGGTTCTAGCCCGATCGCTTAAACTATTAAGAATTGGCCTATTATCTGATTTACTACACAGTTTAAACCTATTGTGCATTTTTAACTTTATAACCGCTTTTAATTATTTTTATGGAATTATTCTAAAATAAGTTTCGATTGTCGTACACTTGTTTGTTTGATACACATTGCAAATCACGTCATGGGAACCGTACCCACGATATGCAACATATTTAAATTATTAAAGTCATTAGAAGTTGTGGCCAGGTCACATAAATGTACCCCCGAATTTGAAAATTAGGTATCACAACTACGTCACGAGAAACGTACCCGTAGCTATGATGATTTTATTATGAACGTGCCTAAAGCAAACTATGAATGTTCAAAATATTTTCTACACTAAGTTATAATATCAATGTGAGGGCATAGATTAGGTGATTCAATTGTGAATGGCATACCTTGATTTATTTAAAGAAATTGTATTTTCACTAAAAAACAGGCTGAGGATGCTCATATTTAAAACTAATTTGAAATTAAGTATCGTAGCTACGCCAAGGGAATCGTACCCGTAGTTGTGATGATTTAATTATGTGCCTAAAGCTTGCCTACTCACGTTTCGGCAGCCTAAACATGCTCCTAGCGATTAAATCGATAAAATTAAAATTAAAATAAGAGAACGATAGTCAACTCAAAACCCAATTCCCTTTTCAGTTTTAACCAAACCCCAAATGTAATCCTTCCGCTAATATCATATCAAACTAATGTCTAAGATCAGATTCATGGAACTAATAAATAATCACAACCAAAACAAGATCAATGACTTAATAGAAGGCATTCAAAATAAAGTTAAATCATGGTAGAATGCTCGACACAAAATAAAACGCAAACCACAAATTCCAAATATTTATATAGCCTCTAAAACAATACCATCCTAACAAAGCATCAAGCAAGGTGAGAGATAGACCTGAAGAAACTTACCGATTTAATTGAGTTGCGACAATTACTCGGACTGAAATGAAGCAACAATTACAACCGGACATCGACACGGCTTCTAACGAAATCAGCACAAACCGAACCGGAATTTCGGTCTTAAACCTTCAACGGCAACCTCCACATGACTCAAACTTAGAAATGATTCCAGACTTCAATTAAACTCCATGTTTCGAAAATCTGTTCGTGTGCGTGACTATGTGTGTGTGTTCCGATAGATTATGGTAAAGAGAGGAAAGAGCAGCGAAATACAAGGGGTCATATAATCGAATATTTGTGCAAATTGACTGTTGTGGCAGCAGATTAGTCAGCAATCCAACTGCAAAGAAAAAATCTAGCAAAAATACCAAAAATGAGGTCGTTCAAGCAAGACAACAAGTCCCTATCTCCATTTTACGGAAAGGATTTGGAGTCGAAAAAGTCAAGTGCAAGCAGAAATAACAAATATTCCATACATTCCTATGGCAGCTCCTTTCGCTTTTTTAGGTTTTTAGGTCTAGGATTTTTGTGTCTTCTGTTGATTTGTTCTAGAGAATAGGGAAAGCCGTTGATGATATTGTGTGTAGTCTAGGTTAGAATGCCTTCCTTTTCCAGAAACGGCTTCTGCTTGTTGAAGAAGAAGAACTGGGTGGGGGGTCTGATTTTTGGAGTTGTCACTGGTTGGTGTTGTGTGTGGGTTCTTTGCTGGAGATGAAAAGATAGGGGTAAGATGAAGAAGAAGATGTTCAGGGGGAGGCTTCTGTTAAGGTCAAAAAACGCGGGTCTGTCTTAGGCGTTAGGTCTAGGCATTGAAAACATCGGATATGGTTTCTATAATTGGGTATTTTATATGGAGGTAGGAAGGGATGATGACCAGTGGATTAGAAGGAAATGGATGAGTAGGATTAAATCTTGTACTTAAGTAAGCTAATGGGTTGGGAAGAATGGGCTAAGGGTAATTGGGTTGGACCATGTCTTTTGAGTTTGAACTTAGGTTAGGAAGACCAAATAGTACAATGTATTTATAAAAGTGTAAAAATCACTCTAAATTAAAATAAACTAATATAAAACTAAATACTAAAAGTGAAACTAATTTTTTTATATTTTCAAATGTTATAATACTGTAAATATAAATATACTAATTGTCTTTAACCTAAAGATGAAAAATATATATATTTTTTGTAATTTTTAATTTTTTCTGTGATAACAATAAAGTAAAGAGAGTGATATTAAACCTAAATTAAATATTTACGCTAAAATGTATAAAATCTTAGAGAGGGTCAAAAATTACATGTCTACAAACGCTAAAAAACAAGGAGCAGTTATGGCGGGGTGGTGATTATAGTTCTTTAGTTCAGTTTTCATGGCCCGAAAATGTTTTAAGCGATTCAGGTCTGGGGGCCAGGGCCCATACGAAAGGCGTGGGCTATTACACTTGAAAATTAGGGGATCGGGCAGAGTTAAAATTTTATGGCCCTAAAAGACCAGGAGCATTCATGGAGGGGCTGTGACTATTATTCCTTTGCTTATTTATTTATGGCCGGGATGTATTTTAGGTGATCCGAGTAGGGATACCTAGGGGCATGCGCAAGGTGTAGGCTATAGCACACAGAAATCAAGGAATCGGGCGAAATTCAAGTTTTATGGACCTAAAATGACCAAAAAAGGAACAAACATGGTGAGGCGGTGACTATTGTTTCTCGGGTTTTTTTCTATGGCACAGAAAAATTTACGGTGATTCGGGTCCGGAGGCCCATGCATAGGTCATGGGCTATAACACACGATAATTAGGGAATCGGGTGAAATTCTAGTTTTATCGCCCTAAAATGTCAAAAACAAGAAAAGGTCATGGCGGAGCGGTGACTATTGTTCCTTAGATTGTTTGTAATGGCCCAAAATATTTTTAGGCAATCCTGGTCCGGGGGCCTAGGCCCATACGGAAGGCGTAGGCTATAGCACATGAAAATCTGGGAATCAGGCAGAATTCCACTTTAATGGAACTAAAATGGCAAAAAATGAGGAATGGTCATGGGGGACAGTGACTATTGTTCCATAGGTTGTCTTTTATGGCTCAGAAAATTTTAGGCGATCCAGGACTGGAGACACGGGCTCATGTGGAAGGCGTGGGCTATAGCACATGAAAATTAGAGAATCGGGCAAAATTCCAGTTTTATTGCCCTAAAACGCTAAAAACGAGGAACGGTTATGGCAGGGCGGTAACTAATGTTCCTTAGGTCATTTTTTATGGCTAGGAAATTTTTAACGCGATCCGGGTTTGGGACCTGGGTCCATCCGGAAGGCGTGAGCTATTGCACGAATATCCAGGAATTGGGTGGAATTCTAATTTTATGGCACTAAAACGTCAAAATACGAGGAATGGTCATGGTAGGGCGGAGATTATTGTTCCTCTGGTCATTTTTGATGGCCTGAAAATTATTTAGGTGATCTGGATTCAGGGGCCTTTGCCCATGTAGATGGCGTGGGTTATAGCACATGAAAATCTAAAAATCGGACAGAATTCCAGTTTTATGGCCTTAAAATGCCAAAAATATGAACGTTCATAGTGGGGCGGTGACTGTTGTTCCTTAGGTCATTTTTATGGCCTGGAAAATATTTAGGCGATCCGGGTCCGGGGGCCTAGGCCCGTGTGGAAGGCTTGGGCTATAACACACGAAAATTAGGGAATCATCCAAATTCCAAATTTATGGCCCTAAAATGCCAAAACAAGAGGAACAGTCATGGCAGAGCGATGGCTGTTATTCCTTACGTCATATTTTACGGGATCTGAGTTTGGGGCCCGGTCCTATGCGGAAGGCGTAGGCTATAACACACGAAAATCTGAGAATTGGGCCGAATACCAGTTTTATGGCCCTAAAACACCAAAAATAAGGAATGGTACTGGAAGGAAGGTGACTATTGTTTCTTAGGTCTTTTTTGATGGCCTGAAAAAATATTAGGCGATCGAAGTTCGGGGGCCGGGCCCATATGTAAAGCATAGGCTATAGCATACGAAAATCAATGAATTAGACAAAATTCTAGTTTTATGGTCCTAAAATGTCAAAAAATAGGAACGTTCATGGTGGGATGGTAACTATTGTTCCTTAGGTCATTTTGGATGGCTCGAAATAATTATAGGCGACCTGGGTCCAGGGGATTGGGCTCATATGGAAGGCGTGAGCTATAACACACGAAAATTAGAGAATCGAGCAGAATTTCAAATTTATAGCCCTAAAACGCCAAAAATGAGGAACAGTCATGGTGGGGCGGTGACTATTGTTCCTTAGATAATTTTTGATCACCCAAAATAATTTTAGACGATTCGGGTCCGGACTACCTGGCCCATGCGGAAAGCGGAGGCTATAGAAAACAAAAATAAGGGGATCGGGCGACACTCCAGTTTTATGACCCTAAAATGCCAAAAATCGAGGAACGGTCATGGTGGAGCGTGACAATTATTCCTTAGGTCATTTTTTCTATCATGGAAATATTTTAGGCGAATGGGTCAGAGGCCCCAGGCCTATAAGGAAGGCGTGGGCTATAGAACATGAGAATTTGGAAATCGTACGTAATTCTAATTTTATGGCCTTAAAATACCAAAAAATGAGGAAAGATCTTGGAGGGGTGATGATTATTGTTCCTTAGGTCATTTTTGATGCCTGAAATTTTTTAAGGCAATCTGGGTCTGGGGGCCTAGGTCCATGCGGAAGACGTGGGCTATAACATACAAAAATAAGGGAATCGAGTGGAATTCCAATTTTATAGCCCTAAAATGCCAAAAAATGAGAAATAGTCTTAGCGGGGCAGTGAATATTCCTCAAGTCATTTTTGATGGCCTCAAATAATTTTAGGCGATTCGGGTCCGGTGTCCCCCGCTCATGCGGAAGGAGTGGACTATAACAAACAAAAATAAGGAAATCGATCGGAATTCCAGTTTTATGGCCCAAAAATGCCAAAAAAATGACGAATAGCCATGGCGGAGCAGTGACTATTGTTCTTTAGGTCATTTTTGATGGCCCAAAATTTTTTAGGTGATCTGGGTCCGAGGGCCCGGGCCCATGCAGAAGGCATGGGCTATAGCACACGAAAATTAGGAAATCGGACGTAATTCCATTTTTACGGCCCTAAAACGCCAAAAAATGAGGAACGATCATAGCGGCGCGATGTATTTTTTTCCTTAGGTCATTTTTATGGCTCGAAAAAAGTCTAGGCGATCCGGGTCCGAAGGCAGGATTCCATTTTTATGGCCCTAAAGAACCATAAAACGAGTAATGGTCATGGCGGGGCAGTGACTATTATTACTTATATCCTTTTTTATGGACCAAATTTTTTTTAGGTGATCTGGGTCTGGGACCCGGGAACATGCGAAAGTCGTAAGCTGTAACACATTAAAATTAGGGAATCGAGAGGAGTTTCAATTTTATGGCCCTAAAATGCCAAAAAATGAACGATCATGGGGGGGGGGTGATGATTATTGTTCCTTAGGTTTTTTTGAGGGCCCGAAATAATTCTAGAAGATTCGTGTCATGGGGCCCGAGCCCCTGTAAAAGTCCTGGGCTATAGTAGACGAAAATCAGGGAATCGTGTGGAATTCCAGTTTAATGGCCCTAAAACACCAAAAAAGAGGAAGGGTCATCGTGGGGAATTGACTATAGTTTCATAAATCATTTTATTTGCCCAAAAACTTTTAGGTGATTCGGGTCCGGGGCCGGGTCCATGCGAAGGCGTGAGTTATAGCACACGAAAATCAGATAATCAGGCGTAATTCCGAGTAACGATCAAGGCAGGGTAGTGACTATTGTTCCTTAAGTATTTTTCAATGGCTTGGAAAAAATTTAGGCAATCCGAGTCCCAGGGCCCAGGCCCGTATGGAAGGCGTGGGCAATAGCACACGAAAATCTAGGAATCGAGCAAAATTCTAGCTTTATAGCGATAAAACGCCAAATAACAAGGAACAATCAAGGAGGGGTGGTGACTATTGATCCTTAGGTTATTTTTATGGCTCGAAATAATATTAGGCGATTCAGGTCCAAGGTTCGGGGCCCATGCGAAAGGCATGGGCTATAGCACACAAAATCTAGGAATTAGGCAGAATTCCAGTTTTATGGCCCTAAAACGCAAAAAATGAGGAACGGCCATGTCGGGGAAATGACTATTGTTCCTTAGGTCATTTTTTATGGCTCGAAAAAACTTTAGGCGATCCGCGTCCGGGTGTCCGGGCCCATGTAGAAGATATTGGGTAGCGCATACGAAAATCAGGGAATAGGGTGGAATTCCAGTTTTATTTCCCTAAAATGCCAAAAACAAGGAATAGTCATGGCAGGGAGGTGACTATTGTTCCTTAGGTCATCTTTGATGGGCTGGAATTTTTTTAGGCTATCCGAGTTCAGGGGACCAGTCCAATACGGAAGACATGGGCGATAACACACGAAAATCAGGGAATCAGGCGGAATTCTAGTTTTATGACGCTAAAATTCAAAAAATAAAAAGAGGAACAACCATGTCGAGGCGTTGACTATTGTTGCTCAGTTCATTTTTGATGACCTAGAAAATTTTTAGGCGATCCAGGTCCCGGTGCCCAGGCCCATACGGAAAGCGTGAACTAGAGCACATGAACATTAGGGAATTAGGTGAAATTCTCATTTTATTGCCCTAAAATGCCAAAAAATGAGGAATAGACCCGGGTGCCCATGCCCATGCAGAAGGCATCGACTATAGCCTATGAAACTCTGGAAATCGGGCAGATTTCCAATTTTATAACCTTAAAATGCCAAAAAATGAGGCACGGTTATTGTGGGACAGTG